TTTTATCTATTTAGCTTTTAATTTTTTTGTAGAGCATCAGTCAATGATCCAAACTACTTAAATTGTTCAATCATCATTGAAAATTTTGTTAAAGCTATTTGTTGATCATCATTGAGAAACGATTTAAGATTTTGAATGTAAAAATTATAATTTTTTCAAAAAAATCATCTCTAATTGATCAACAAATACACCATCATTGAGAATAAAGCGATATGTAAGGAGATAAGTCATTGTCTTCTAGAGCATACTAAATGTGATACAAGCCTCCTTTGATTGTAGATTGAAAATGAAGCTCTCTAAGACATCTTCATCAAACTCATCTCCAGTGGGTGACAATCACTAGAAATCTGAATGTTATCAAAGTTTTGCTCTATTAAATGACAATTGTCAAGTGACCATTGACGAAGATTATTCGTCAACTCATCTTATCAATTTATAAACTTCACAAGCAGATTCAGAGATTGACTATATTGTTTATGTTCAAGGAGAGCTTTAAGATTATAGACATCACATGATAATCATCTCAAATGTTTAGAATTTTGATGATTGCCACCGCAATGTCAGAACTTTGTCTTTCATGTTTTAAACTTAATTATTTCGTAAATTAGTGAGATTTTATGTGATTTAAAGTTTTAAAACTTTTCTTTGATCAATTATGATTTTGAGCTTCTATAGTTTTTAATTTGATCAATTAAATCATTTATAATCATTTCCATAAAAATTATTGAGTAAAACTCTATTTCTATCTAAATCACGTTCATTGAGGTGATGTTGTCATCCTTACATATGTAACTGAATTTATCTTTTTTGTGAATTTTTAAATAGATTTCATTTTCATCATTTCACCTAAAAACTATAAAAAGATCATATTATTCGATAATAACTTTAAAATTTTACATGATATTATTTTCCATCATTGTGATATTATTTTAAAATTCCATCATTATTTTACATGATATTAAATAGACTTGAAGTATTGTCACTATTTTTGATTTTTTTATTAAATTATAATTGATAATTCATGTTAAAATATTTTTAAAAGTTTAAAAATTAATATTTTACTAGTTTTATAATTTTAAATATACATGATTTATTATACAATGATTAAACCATTCACCAACCTTATTTCATCTTTAATTGAAATATTTTAATAAATCGTTAGATTTTTTGTGAACATGAATTATGAGACAATTTACGAGAAAAAAAAGATTAGTCATTTCTCATCAAGTTATGAGAAGGGGCAAATTAGTCTTCATCTAATAAAGTTGAATTAGTATGAGTGAACATATATTGTCTAGATGTGTATGCAATACAAAGGGTATTCAAAGTGTACAATATGATAGGTATGAGTATATGTACACACCAAGAAGGTGTGCTCACAACAATACTACCAAGGACCAAAAATAGGTACTTAATATCAATTTATGGTCGAGTACATATGACCAATTTAGATTCCAAAATAAGTTGATATAGTGCAAAATTTCCCAACTTTAGTTGTAGAACAAGTAGAAGAGTTCAAAAATTTGATATGAAATCATCACGAACTTAATACCATGTCATCACTAAGTAGACCACAAGATAAAACTTGTACTTAATATATACCTTTCTACACGACCTCATATAAGAGGTCACTTGTATATTTGGAGAAATTACAATGACACCTGAATTTTATCACTAATATATTAAGATAATTACTAGAGGTTGGACATATTGACCCTTCCAAGGCATCAAACAATTTTATTACTATCTGCAGAAAAAATATGATTAACTCAAGTTATACAAACTAGTTCATATACAAGGTCATAGTGAATAATAAATATATGATGCTATATTCAAATAAGTTATTTGATTGCTTGAAAGGGGAGTGGTCCTTCATCCAATCTATATCAAAGAATGATATATCCTAAAAAAGAATACATAACTTGTTATAAATTCTAGGAGTTCACAATGATCTCATTTGGTCTAGTCAATGCTCTAGTGACATTATATAACATGGTTAAAGTTGTCTCTAATGAATAAATAGGCAAGTTTGTTATAAATAGGCAACATGATGATATTTGTATTAGTAAATAATTAGACTCTAGACAAGCACATAGACAACATATGGAAAGTGTTAACCAAGCTAGAGGAGTATTAGTTGTTCCTCAACTTACTAAAATATGACTTCACACTAAAAGTCACATTCATTAGTCATATTCTCAAGAGTGGTGGTGTGCAAATGGATGAAGCCAAGGCTCGCACCATCAAGAAGCCAACTATGTTTAATCGAGTACGAAAGTTGTTGGCCTTCCTCAACTCAATCAACTGTTACAAGAAATTCTTTGTAGTCATGACCCCACTAACATATCTCCTAAAGAACAATGTATGTTGGTATTAGATAAACAAGTAATCACAGATTTTCAAGGTTGTGCAATGACTAGTAAGTTGATCCTATAGTTACCAAAATTTAATTATTTAAACTACACACTAATGCATTAGATTCAATTGTTAGGGGTGTTTTGATATAGGAGGTGTATTTAGTGGCATATGAGAGTCTTAAGTTCAAGGATATAGAGTGGCACTATTTTATGTACAAGAAAGAGATGACAATATTATGAAGTATTATCTAAGAATGTGGTGTTGCTACCTCCTTGGATGAAAATTAACAATATACACAAAAAATGTGGTGGTCAATTACTTGACACACAATGAAAGCTCATGTCAAAGAGGCAATGTGTTAATTTCCTTGTAGAGTAACACTTCATCATTGTTGTGTTAAAAAACTAATTTCTTGATCTTATCTTATCCTAATCAATATATAATCAACTAAAAAAATATAATGTATGTTTGAAATGACTCTTAGTTGACCAAATGACCAAAATGACTGTTAAGTATTATTTTAAAAATATAGATAGAATAAAGGAAATATAATTCAAGAAAATAAGCATTTTAATTAACTTTAAGATAACAACAATAATGTGAAAGTTCCCAAAACAGTTTCCTTACTTTTCTTCACTCAACCTCCCAATGTGATAGTTTGAGATATAAAAAAGGTGTACCATACAAGGGGGCATTCAAAGTAAAGATTAATAATAAGTTATTATGGATTAGATACATTCAATTTGATGGTTGATCTGTGCCAATCAGTGGTAGGTATTGAGGGATTTTTTTTCTTGTGAGCAGTAGCATAACCAAAAAATAAAACAATAAACAAATACAAAACGTGATACTACATAGAAATTTAATTCATGAAATATCTTAAACTTTCATTGTAATTATTTTTAACATACACAATAATCATTATTATTTCCTCTAACATTATTCAAATGTAGATTAAAGTTGTTAGATGACAATGAGTACAAATCATTATCTTTGATCTGTCTTCGTCATCTAGATCATTATGGTAATTGAGACTTGGAGAAATAATGTACTCTCTAAAAAAATATTTTTCATGGATCAATATTATAAAGTATTATCTGTTAGTTTATTTAAAACATTCATAAATTTTCATTAAAAGAATTATAAAAAATATATAGGACTAACATATTATTAGGTGCCCATGAGTTGTCCCACTTGACACTCTAAAGGAGCTGTCCAACCATAACATGCTAAATAACTACCATAATCTATAGACGTTTGACCCTTTCTTTTGCTAATATATCTTAATATCCAAAAATAATGGACCTTGAGCACTTCCTAGCTTGAGGTTTGACTTTGACCAAGTAGTGGGCCTTGTGACTTAAACTTTTTATAGGGAATAAATTTGAGAATTTCCTATTTATTAATAATTTTAATCCCATATTTTCTCCTAATTGGGCGTGGGCTGCTTCCATTTTCCTCATACGGCCTTCTTTCCCACATGAGTTTGTTTTTGGAGGAGCCAAAATTTATAAAGAAAATGGGCCATTCTAGGGATCGGGCCGATTCTAAGTACTCTTCGGTCAACCGGGCAACTTTATGCAAGGGAATTTTCTTTCAGGGGCCTAAATTTGTTAAAAATGGATTCGGGCCGGCCCGGAGTTTCTTTCAGGCCCACTTTAGTCGCACTATAATGATAGCGAGAGAGAGAGAGAAGTCCCCGGCCTCAGAAAGGGAAGAGAAGGTCTCGCCTACCGAATCTCCTCATGATATGCCTCGGGGTAAAATAATCATAATAATGTTGGTAGGGGCAACTCGGGAAATATTTTCGTTCAAGTGGGGGAACCAGCGCGGCGCCCTCAAAAAGAATATTCTCGGAATATACGTAATGGTTAATAGTAATAACATGAAACTTTGAGGGGTACTTCGGGAACCCCTTCATACAAGTGCGGCAGGACCGCCTCTGCGGTGCTCGTCTTCGCCGTTTCCTCGGGGACCGGAGGAAGCAGCAGCGGCCGGGGTCTTCCGCCGCCGCCGCCGCCGCCGCCGTCGTCGTTCCGCCGGAGGGGCGTCCGCCGCCGCTGGATCTTCTGTGAGGAGCTCCGATCCGACCAGATCTCGCGCCTCCGCTTCCAGCTGCGCGTCGAGGTGAGTCCCTCTTCAGGGAGAGATGAGAGATGGAGGTGGCGCCGCTGGCTATGCGAGGAGTTCTACTTCTCGTTTTTGCTTCCGTCCCTCTTCTCGGCTCTGATTTTGGTAGGGTTTGAGACGGTTCACGCGCGGGGAATCCCTGGATTGTTTCCATTTAGGTCAAAAAATGGCATGTCGATACCCAATGGAATTGGGGCCTCTCTCTCTCTCTCTTTCTCTCTCTCTCTCTCTCTCTCCCGGGAGCAAGAAATAGAAGAGCTATGGAGAGAGAGAAATGGAGGGCATTGATTGGCCGAGGACCACGTTTTCCTCTTCTTCTTCTTCTTCCTCCTGCTTATTCCTCGAATTTTGTCCAATGATAGATGAACAAACGGACCAACCTGTTAGGTTTAGGGTTTATGTGCCGCTGCGTAGGTTCTGATTTTCTTTTGTGGGATTTCTAATCATCGCCATTTTTCTTCCGTCTGCTTCTTCCTGTTTGGCAGGTGTACACCCGAGGCTTTTGGCCCGCCATGGACAGCTTCTGGCAGCTGGGGGATGAGCTCCGGGGGCAGCTGAGGGTCTCGGAGGACCATCAGTGGTCGGTGATCACCTCAAAACTGGCCGAGCTGACAGTGGCGAAGGGGGAGCGCATGAACTACATCGATCCCTCGAGGATCCTCATGGAAGCCAAACCCAAAGAGAGGGTTGGGTTCCAGGAGGACAACGGCAAGTTCGAGAATCCGAGCCTCCACGCTATGAATTTGGACTTCAAGGTGAACGACGCCATAGACAAGATCTCTCTCCGCAACGGCATGTACGGGATGAACACTGTCTACACGAGGAACAACAACATCAACAACCTCAATGACAACAACAATGCCAGCAGCTTTAAGCTGAAGACTGTCAGCAGCAAGTATGTGGGCAGTAATAACAGCAAAGAGATTAACAACATCTCCAACATTTCTAGTAATAAGAGCAATACCAACAACAACAACAACAGTGGCACCATCGCCACCGCCAACAAGAATAGCAGCAGCGGCAACAACAACAGCAACAGTAACAACAGCAACAGTGCAAATGCCGATAAGCGTTTCAAGACATTGCCATCTACAGAGATGCTGCCACGGAACGAGGTTCTCGGAGGGTACATCTTCGTTTGCAACAACGACACCATGCAAGAGGATCTCAAGAGGCAGCTCTTTGGTGAGTGCCTTCTAATCATCTCTTCTTCGAAAAGTCTCTGCACTTATGTTCTCCAGATGTTTCTCTAGCACATCTAATCCTTTCTTCTCTTCCCCTTTCTTGGGCTTCAGCCCTGTTTATTTCTCCCTCCCCTTCAATGGCACTTTAATCTTCTGAAAAAGAGAAAAAAAATCATTGGCCCCAAATACCAAAATAACTATTCCCACATTTCCATTTTTGAAAGGCCAATTCACAGTATAGTTTATTCACAGGATGTCTATTTCTCAGGTTTGCCGCCAAGGTACCGTGACTCTGTCAGGGCAATAACCCCAGGATTACCCTTGTTCCTATACAACTACACAACTCACCAGCTACATGGGATTTTTGAGGTGAGCCTTAATGGTGCATGTGAGATGCATGGTTCTAATTTTTGGCTTATGATGGGATAAGATGGATTCTATTAGAAGCCAAAAATACCTTCTTTAAAAAATACTTTTGAATACTATGCATTAGTTAGTATGTATAACTTGTCTGATAATGTATCACATTCAACAAATGGATTATTATTTTTTGAGTAATTCGTGAATTACAGTATCAAAACATATTTATTTCAAGAATCATGTGTTAGCCCCTTTGTGGCCTCTTGAAATCTATTTTGCACTAAAAAAAGGCCCGTTGTGAGCTTGGCCGCGGGATCTCAAGTTCCCTGAAATGAGCCTACTTTCCCCAGCCCCCCTCCCCTGTAGCTGGAAGGTGGAAATATGAGGATCTGTGATCAGGGTTGCCCATTCTCCTGTGTGAGAAAATGGACAACCTTCTTATTTGGAGTTTTTTCGCTGCCATGATGTATAATCTCTCTCTTTGCTTTAATTCACAACAGTGAGAGAAAATGGACTCCGGGCTGAGAGCCCCAGTGTGCGAGAGATATTAACTAATCAACGTCCCTAGAATGACTCTTCTCTTGAAGCATATATATATATATTATTATTTATTTTAATTCTCTCACTTTCAGGCTGCCAGCTTTGGGGGCACCAACATCGACCCCACGGCCTGGGAAGATAAGAAATGTAAAGGCGAGTCCAGATTCCCTGCCCAGGTAAATCTTGAAGGGGAAAGGAAGAGAGAGAGAGAGAGGGGGGAGGGGGATCTCTTCTGTCTGAAGGAGGAGGGCTTTTGTTTTTTAGAAACGGGTAGGTTAAGCTGATGGATGATGGGGGTCTGCAACAGGTCAGGATCCGGGTGAGGAAGCTGTGCAAAGCACTCGAAGAAGATGCCTTCAGGCCGGTTCTCCACCACTACGACGGCCCTAAATTCCGCCTTGAGCTCTCCATACCTGAGGTCAGCCTGAGTTCCTTTCCCTTTTTTTTTTCTTTTTTTTTTTTTTTTTTGTTCCTTCTACGATTGTGTCATGGGTTGTGAAATCCATTCTCCTGTACCTATGCATTTATCTCTCTCCCATACAACCTATGCTTCAACCTGGCTGCCTCTGTTGGGATGATCTCGACTCCCTCTCTCATACAATCGCTACCCTCTCTCTCTCTCTCTCTCTCAAGCTCGTAGCGTTGATTTTGCAGACCTTGGCGCTACTGGATCTCTGCGAACAAGGGGACATGTGAGGCCGCACACCCCGTGGAGACCCCCCGGGCCGGGTGAAAGAAGCTCCTGGTCCCTGTCCCCAGGAAGGAAGCGCAAGCTTATTATTGTCTTCTGTAGCGAGAGGTGAAGTCAGTCCCCAGATCTCAGACATGGTGGGCCCCCCCTCCCCAGGCTCCAGTCAAAACGAGGAGTCCGAGGATCCCAACCGGGCCCTGGAAGTGCCGTGTGTTGTAATCCCCTCTGTTTCTCTGTGTGTGTGCGTGTGTGTGTGTGTCTAAGAGAGAGAGAGAGAGAGAGAGAGAGGTGGGGTGGGTGGACCTGGACTTAAGAGAGGCGAGTGTTGTGTGCGGGAATAACGACCCGTAAGAAAGACGGGCCGGACCTCGTATCTAGTGACCTCCAGTTGCTGCCCCCTTCGTTTCCATACCTGCTTGCCTTCTTCGTCTGAATCGTCACCTGCTCCCATTAGCGAGAGAGAGAGAGAGAGATTATTTTTTATTTCTAAGAGGAATAGATGAGCGGGGTGCCCTTAACGAGGCAAGATGGCCTCATCTCTCTCTCTCTCCCTATCTCTCTCGCTAGGTCTCTGAGTGGGGCCTGGCCTGAAGCCCATTGGCACCCCAAAGCTATATAATCCACATATATCAACACGTACAAACAGCTGTCCTAGTAGGCGGGCCTTCCAAGCCGGGGAGTCAAAGGAAGATTATCAAGCTTCCAAAGTCCATCGATTATAGGAAGAGTAACTGATAGGAGATAAACAATTACGTGCTTTTTTTTTTTGTAAAATTCCGAAAGCATCAAAAGCTTGAGAAAGAGGGGGAATTTATATGGAAAATATATGTTTTTTTTCCTTTTGGTGGGGAAGAAAATGCAGCTCAAAAATCAGTCAATTGTCTGTTGGAGAGTGCACAATGTCGTAGAATGTTTATCTTCCCTCTAAAGAAGAAGAGCTTCACTATTTCTGGCAGATTAATCGAATCACATTTGCAGTTCTATCTTGGGGTTTAAATTAAAAAATAAATTAAAAAAAAGGTAACAGAGCTGCCTCTTTAAATGGAAAATCTGGATTTTTAAAAGCAAGCTATCTTATATTATAAAAACATTTAAAGAGTCATAATCAGTGGGAGTGCTAATAACAGTACCTGTCTATATATAAGAACCCTAATTAACATTCATTGCAGTAAATGAAGCGTATCCTAATATCAGTAATAAACTTAGGAATTGGGAATTACCCAAAAGTTTTATTTTCTCTCTTCAGACAGCAAATATCAAGAGCCCAAATGATCCTCAGAAGCACGTTCCAAGAATGGAATTGGCTTAGAGCATTATAGTTTTTGATTCATTTTCCAATGTTGAGGCCTAGTTATCTAATTGTACAACTCAATCCTAAATTATAACTAAACTAATGAATCAGCTTAAAAACCTAATTTCCTAGGAAGAAGCATTTCCCCACATATTATTCAAATATCAATACTATGGCTATTAACCGCTATTTTACCACTCACCCTCCCATTATTATTATTATCATCATTTTTATTATTATTAAAACTCTTATTGCTATGTACCTATTTTAGATGATTCATAGAAGAAAGCACAATAGTTGAAATACAAGAGTTCACAAAATGACATACCTATGAAATTCCTGGCTGCATTCAAGGGAATAAATAAAGAGTCATTTTTCAATGTGTTTTCAGTGATTATGAAATTTATCTCTCTGTTATTCTGTGGGCTTATATTCCCACCATTAGGCTTTGTTTTTTTATTCATATGAGATAATAAAATAATTATGATGATGAGGAGGAGATGGGCGTCCCCAAGGGGACTCACTGATTTAGCAATGTGGTATTTGCTAACATCCTTATTATTGATATTTGAATAATGTGTGAATTCATGTATGGATATAGAATGCACATATATGACCTCACTTCGCCACCTAACTGTAACCTAAAATGGTAAATGCAATCTTTAGTCAAGTTGAAGTATGTTAAAATAAGAGAGAGCAAGAGAGAGAGAGAGAGAGAGAGAGAGAGAGAGAGAGGAGGAGAAGAGAAGAAGAATAACAATTAAAATGGACCCGAATGTCCAAAATGTTTTACAAAAGTAGTTCATCTATTACCATCTAGGTACTGGAAAATAGATAAGTGGGTCCCATCTGAATAGGATTGTATTGATGACCAAGTCTAGGAGGCTACTATCCAATGCCTATGTGCCCAATTGTCTACATCCAAACATGATAGAGAATAAATCCCTTATAAGAAAGAGATAAGATAATATAGTCTATTCCCCAAGAAGCAGATATGTTGGATTCATGTGGACTACTTAACTAATATTTACTATGGGTCTGATGATTAGATAATGTTAGGAACTTCAGAATTTTGAGATTATAGTAAGGTAGTTGGAAAGGCTGATTGAAAAATTGTTCAAAGTTTAGGCCATATGACTTTTAGCAAATGGAGTGGAGATAGAACACGCATGGCCATAAATAAGGAACATTAATGATAGAATTTGAGGGATTGAAAGGTAAATAAATATTTGCCACAAGACTAGTAACATAATAACAAAGATATGACCAAGAAAAATGGATAGCAAAAACTAGATTTCCATTTCTTTACTGACAAATTTTATATATTGAACATTGTGTGTCTCATCACCAATATGGTAATGTCACATATGATCAAAATTAATAGATCCAAATTGCATGACATTTTTTCCCTTTAACTATAAATGAGTTTTCTCCAAAAATGTAACATTCAATTGAGCATCTAGATATAGTACTAGTATCTTCTTAACATTACTCTTTTCTTGAGCTATTTTTCAAAATCTTGACATTCTTAGTCAAAATATGGCTCATAATGTACATTATGAACCATATGTTTTAGATGCAATCACTAGCCATCATAAATGATTGATCCCCAATTACATATGCCCGTTATAAGCCTATGTTAATTTAGTTGAAAGGCAATAGGGCAATATTATTTCCCCAAGTCCACAGTAACAATAAAGTAAAATATGATGTAACTCAACTAACATTTAAAGTAGTATACATCATTATTCATTGTAATGGACATTTTTACATTTTTTTTTTCTGATTTCAACAAGTACTTCAGTTTAGAAAAGAAAGAACAAGACCCTAAATAAGAAAAACAAAATTAGGGGAATTATTAGTTTATTAGATAACTAGATGAGTAGAGCATTGTATTTGAATATCGGAATAAATCAAAATCATAATATCTGAATATCTGAACATAGTAAATGTTAGAAAAGATAACAAAATTGTGCATGTAAAAAATATAAATCATAATTACATAGAAATAAGAATCTATGAAATAATATACACAAGAATAGTGAAGTAAAAAACATATATATCATTTTGATGCTACAATATGAAAATTTATTTATTAAGTAATTACTGAATATTCAACGAATTTAATGAAAGCATCTGTTAAAGATGTAATATTTATAAGAATCATTTAACATGTATAATATTAATACTCTTGTGGCTAATAAAACAAATCAAAAGAGTTAATCTTTGAGATATTTATATGTTGGAACTAATACATGATCCTAGATTCCAAGCGTAAGTACATAAAATGTAGTGTTAATACATGTGATGAAATATCTAAAAATTTCATGACATATTCAGTTGAGTGCAAGTTTCAAATCTAAAATCTGGACAATGACACACCATGAGCTTTAGTAAATAAATATTTGAAAAATTATGAAGTACCAAACTCACTTGTAAGACTCGAATATGAAATATGAATGATAAAGTGTTTAAAGTTACAATGAAGAAATATTTAAAAAAACACAAAATATCAAAGTTACTTGCAAGACTGGAACCTAGATTCTAGACAATGACACATTGACAAATCATGTGGAGACAACAATGGATTGAATGAGCTAATCTAGACTAGACCTCAACATAAAAAATGTTAATTGATAAATAAAATATTCAATTCAAAGTTAAAATTACATAGATGAGAGAATAGATAGTTTCAAAGCACCAAAAAGATAGATGTCATTGTCATGCATTCTAGATAGTGACACATTGACATATTACATAGAGATAATCACACATTAAACAAGTTTATTTAAACTCAACCTCAACAACAAAAATTATGTTTACAAAAAATAAATCTTAAGTGTAAATTTCAAATAAAATAAATGAGAATATAGAGAGCTTTGAAGCACAAAAAATGCAAAGGTCATTGGTGTGCATTCTAGACAATGAGAGTATTTTTGAAATTGTGTGATCTTTTTTTAAGACAATAAATGATTGGATAAGGTTGAAGCTAAAAAGGAAAAAAAATGTGAAGAGAAAGATATAACTCCAATGATTATCTATTTCTCTAACAAGGTTCAGCCACCATGACCTTCAATGAGATATAAAATGTTATATCAAATCTTCATTCAATCTTATTTATTAAAAAAAATATCAATATCAAAAACTAGCAATCTCCATTATGCTAAAGCATGTGTGATATTAGCATGGTGAGAGGAGGTGTTTGGGCTAAAGCACAATATGTTGGTAGCCTAGTTGTGCCCTTGAAGTGTGAGGTCTCTAAGGAGATAGAACATGTGTAATTGAATTGTTGATTATGTGAAAATTAATATGTATTTATGAGAAAAATAGTATTTTTTTCATAGAAAGAATATTCTAATATTGGAAGTAACTAATTGAGGGGCAAACTAGTATGAAGAAGCTTGACGTCTTTAGTGGGGAAGAGAGAATTGTGAGATAACTTACATCAATAGACAGAAAACCTTGAAAGAACTTATATTGAGGAGAGAGTATGAGAAACTTGTGTCAACACATCTACTAATAGACATAAAATTTAAATTGATAAAAATTCATAGAAACCTAATCCTTCCCCTTTTTTAGTGTTTTACCAATCCTTTTTTGATTTAATACCAACATATTCACGTGTTAGATAAACTTTGAGAAACAAAATCATTTGAAATATGATTGATTGATTTCGATTGAAAGTTGTATATTATGATTCTTGTAAACCAAATTATCAAATTTCAAATATTTATAAGTTGAATTTGAAATAATAATTAAAATTAAAAATTGGTGAATTCAAAATAAATGTTCATGAATTTGCATGGTTGATGAGGGAAGGATATATAAGCACTTGTTGTACTATTTCTTAAAATAATTATAATACATTTATTCAAATAATAATAAGGCCTTATAAAAATTAAGTAAAGACAAAAATTTTCTAGTTTATGTAAAACCTAAATTTGTCATGAAAAATTTTAAATCTAAGTTTTTTATAGGAGGAATAATCAGCTAAATCGAAAAAATAAGCTTCAACCTTGATTACAAGTTAATACTTAGGCTAGGTGGATGTAAGTCAAAACATGTATTTTTTTTACCTTAGGTATGTGGATTAACATGCAAAAATGTGGCTAATTAATAACAAAATATTTTATTTATTAAATATTTTTTTTAATGTAGATGACGATTTATTTAATGTGCCGAGTTGATCCGAGTTAACTGCTTGGTGATATTTCATAATTAAACCTGGCAATACCTGTGTGAGATTTGGGGGTATTTATACAATTAATTATCAATTAGAGTTATAAAGTTGTAAGCTACCGCGGAAAAGTCGGGCAAAAATATCTATGGCGAGGATGCATCCTGCCCAATCATCGACCCGTCGGCTTCCGACGGCCCAGATGAAGCCACCATCGTCACCACACATGCATGACCATGAGGAAATACCGTATTTACCCCCAATTATTTCTCACTCCATCATCGGTCGTGGGTGGCAGATATTGATGGTTCACCAATTGGACGGCCATCATTTAAAGAATGTATTCGTAAATATGTGTAACTATGAAGGCTATCTCTGTTCATCGAACCTGTACGCGATCTCGCAAGAGCCGGCGTGGGGAGTGCGGGGAGTGGGGAGCGGGAGAGGAGATCGTAGATGGCACTGGCGACGGCGGCGGCTTCTCCCGGCAGCTTGGCGGCGTTCGGAGAGAGGAGGGTGGAGAGTCGGAGGAGGAAGTGGCGGATCCATCTCCAGATCTCGTGTAGGAAGAGGGACAGGGAGCAGCATCAGCACGAGCGTCACCCCTACAAGGTCGTCGAGATCACGCCCCCGCCCACGGACCTCGGCGTTCGCTGCTTTCCCTCGGTGAGGCACGCCGAAGCGATGACGTTTTGTTCGGGATTCGGTTTCCCCCTTCAATGTCGTGACGATCTTCCTCGAGACTAGTATGTCTCTGTTTCGGGCTGTCTTCCGTTTTCATTTCGTTCCTTTGGAATCTCAGCTGTGGTTTTCGACGAATGTGATTCTGTGTCTAGAAGTATTAATTTCATATACTTTATTCATTTATTTTTTATTTACTTTGAAAAAACTAGGCGACTTTGGAAGTTTCGGAAATTTGAATTCCAAAATAATATTCTTGGTCTTCCTATCCATAGCGTTAAACGCTATACTTGTGTGTTAATTCATTGTTTGAGGGCATAGTACGTGAATTTTTTCCAAACATTTCGTTCCATAAATTTACGAGCGTTATAAAATGTATTATTAGATATCTGGACCCTACACACGAGCTGGACTTGGGCAGTGAGAGAGTTCTTTCAGGGCCTGCTGAATCTTCATAGGAAATAATTTTTTTTTACAGAGAATGCTTTGAATACCTAGATCCGGTAGATTTTTTAAACTTTCTGTTTATTTAATTTCTATCGATTGTGATTTAAATACACCCTCACGTGCTGATCCTAGACTGTAAGCTCTCTCACATCATTTCCCGAAAAATAAAGTCTATGCTCTCCCCGCATGATTATTCATAGATTTCTTTTTTTTCGATTTCTTTCATAAATAGGCTAGTTTTCGCACTACCTTATCCTTAGGAATTAGGCTTGCCCTTGGTCTCTAGGCGTGACATTTTAATGCTTACGACCAGTGTGGCCACCAGTGGGAGCAATTGGCCTCGGGGTAGGTAGTTGACATTTTTATTCGATTATAACGCAGGTAAATTTGCTTTCTACATATGCCAAATAATCATGCTTGTTACATTCTTTTGGTGAAGGCTTCTGTTTTAATTCTTTCCACAGTTTACAGCTTTGTCCTGTATTATTCCCAAATGTATGACACAAATTCCAGTTCCAATAATAAAGAAGAGGGTCTCATACCATGAAGACTGGTAGATTACTCTTCAATATGCCAACGAAAATCAGGTTGATTTTCGTACCATCTTCATGAATTTTTTAGCAAACCATAATTACTATGCTTAGGGTTCTAATTCAATCTTCTGAACGCCTATTCTCATGTCATTGTTCTCGTTTGATATCTAGAACAGCATCGTAATCATAGTTAATCAGTCGACAATTTCTCATAATTCTATAATGCTAATAACCCATTCCAAATCTCGAGGAGCGGTGAAAGCTGATCAACTGTGTATGATCAGCTGCAGTCTAGCTTCTTTTGTCTAGCTTCAATATAAACGGCTTTTTTTTGTTTAGCTTCTTAACGATGGATAATGGGTTATATATGTGATTTCTGCATTTCTATGAATAATGGGTTAAAGATGGATAATGTTTAGCTTCATAATATGATTCTTGAAGTCAAATTTCTTTCCTTGTTTAATACATAGAGCGCATTATAACGGGAAAAACGATCCCCTGTGTGTCTCTCACAGTGTCCTCTCTCGTTGACTTTTCTTCTCTCCTATATCGGCAGAACATGCAATGTGGTGAGAGCGTCACCATAGAAGGCCAAGCATACACCATCTCGGCGGTCACCCACCGCTACCAGCTCCGCCACGGCAGGTACAAACCGAGCGAGAAGAGGCTCGACGTTCAATCCACAGGCAGATACATCCTGAATCTGTACCTGGAAAACCTCCTGCAGAAGTCCTAGAAAGTCAACCCTTGGACCTCCGACCGGGCACCAAGCTGTCTGACCAGCGAGTTCTCCTCCCCCAAGTCCCTGGAAAACCTCTCAGGTCAAATGCAGGGCTACCTTTTCACGTCCATTGATTCTGGAATCGAAGGCGGATCGGATTCCACAGGCTATTTATTACCCAGCAGCTGGGAAGCTTCATGTACATAATACCACTGTCCCAAGAGCTTCATCTCCTCTTCCCAGGGCCAAGCTGTCGAGAGATTCACAGATTCTGTCTCTTTGATTCGATGTATTTCCTCTTAAAGAGTTCTCTATGGATGGTGGAGTGGAACGAAGGAACTCTGTCTGCATACTTTTTTCACGGTTTTTTAGTGTTAGCTCCCTGCAAACCTGTCGAATGATGATTAAACCCTCACGTTTATTTCCTAGATAATTAACCACTAATGATTTCCCAGGAAGAGATGGGTCAATGCGGAATATTCTATTTTTGTCCAAAATTCATGGCAGAGTCTGGCTGCTGCCCTCCTCCCTTTTTTTCACCGTTGTTAGAGGGGTTTTAAGGAACATATTTACATATCTATGTAATAAAATGAGTTTTAAAAATTAATTTTCTAGTTGAAACTTTATCATTCTTCCTTTATTTTCATCCAATTTCAGAGGTTTAAATGATAAAAAAGTCTGATAAAATTAACCACTAACGATTTTTTAATCATCATCTCCAGCATTCTCACCCATTGAGAGGGATCTAAATTTATAAATAATTATTTAATATTTTAATCGAATTTTTATCTTCTATCTTCATCTTTCTCGTATCGATGATTACTTAAAAATCATTGAATTTTTTATCATACCAGCGAGCTTTTCATCTGCCAAAATTAGGTGCTAATTAATTTTTTTTTTATAAGAAGAGAAGAATATGCGTCGAATATTCCGGTTTATAAATTAAAGAAATATTTAGTTTTAAAAAATATTTAAGTGGAAACTTATTCTCGGTTTTCTCCTAGATTAGGACCGGAATCCAAGCATATGATCTGATCTGGTCCGTCCGATTTCCAAGGGAAGCTCAGGTCCTGTTGGCGAAGACTCGTTTGCACTAGGAAAGTATAGGGGTACTGTGGTCATTTCACACATACAGAGATATTTCATTCGCCGGTGGGTCCGTCCATCTGTCCTCGCCTCGCGATTTTCCAGATATGATAAATAAATATAATTTAACAGAAAATCGTCTCTCTCTCTCTCTCTCTCTATCTCGTTCTCTCTCCAGGGCTCTGGTTCCCGCATTTAAATAGTACTGTTGCCTTTACGCATCAATCCCCTTCCTGTTTCTGGTTGCCCCTTTTCGTAGGGTTAGGGTTTTGGGCGAACCCAACCCCCTCCGTCTCCCGGGACGACCTGACCGATCAGGGTTTGTAATCGGTGACGAGGATTCTTGGAAGATCCCCTCGTCTGGTGTTACGATTATTCGTCTTTCTCTTGTCATCGTTGGGGCTAGTTTTAGGTCTTTTTGTGTGCTTATACTCCCCCGTCGAAGATGATGCAGCCCGCTGCCGGGATGGTTCCGCCTCCTATGGTGCCTCCTCCGATGGATCAGCAGCACCCGCCGCCGGTGCAGCAGCAGCAGCCCCAGCAGCAGTGGGCCCACATGATGCCCCCGCAGTACCACCAGCCTCCACCCCAGATGCCTCCACCCATGTGGAATCAGCAGCCGTCTCAGGTCCCGCCCCCGCAGCCGATGCCTCCTCAGCCGCAGGCTATGCAGCCGGTCCAGATGGGCCCGCCCCAGCCGCAGCCCGTGCAGCAGCCGGTTCAATACCACCAGGTCGCGCCGGCTCCGACCTCTGCTGTGGCGCCTCAGCCGATGTCGACTGAGGAGATACGCAGCCTGTGGATCGGTGATCTACCGTATTGGATGGAAGAGACGTACCTTCACAGCTGCTTTGCCAGCACCGGCGAGGTACGGGGCAACTCACTCCGTTTTTTTCCTCATTCTAACTAATCATCTTATGTAGATATATATATATATATATATTTTTCAAAGTTACTTGTTCAGCGTAAATGATAGGTTTTATCAACATTTCGGTGAACTTTTAGCTATCTACGTCTCTTCACGATTACAGTTTGTTAGATAATTGTGAGGGCGGGCCGTTGTGTGCGTTTTATGCATAAAGCTATATGTATCAATGTTGTTGATGTGTGGGGCGTAATACGTCTTTTGTTTGTTTGGGACTTTCCATGCGTTCCAGTTTTGTTGTTCGGTCGAAGAGAGTACCAAACATTACCCGTTGTTTAGGTTCGTATAATGACATTGAATACAGTGCCTCACTCTGGAGAGTTCACTTACAGGTTAGCAAGTGTGGACACTTGCACATTGTCTGCAATTCTAGGATTCTAGATAATTTAGATGTAGCCTCTGTGCAAAGTTTCAACTTAATCTGGAAAGTGAATGCTGAATCTTTTTAATTGTTGCCTCTTATTAGTCTCTTACTTGTCATACAGTGTGTGTATTATGATCTCCAATGCCTCATAATCATCATCGATGCTTTATATTTATTCTTATCCTTTAGAACTACTGAGTAGTACCCTGGAACATAAAGAATCCTCTGCCCCTCTCTATTTTCCTCCATTTTTTGGGCTGTTTTCTATTGAGAGGTCACCTTTTCCTTGGGTTTTGGACAATTTTTGGTAATCACCTATATCTTTTCTGTATCTATCTCCCATCACCTGGTTTTATGCTGTTCGCACCCACATTTTTATTCTTACAGGCCTAGTATATTCTCGTAAAATATATTTTTTGGAAGAATTGATAATCATTGGTTCTTACTTTCTATATTATTTTTTAGTTTGCTCTGGTCTCTATTGGAATGTGAAAATGATTGGTTTTGGCTATTTCTTAGCGCAAGCTTAATTAATTTGAAATCAAGTTCGTTTTTGGTTACAACTCTTCCCACAGATATCTTATTATCATTTTTTTTCTAGGGCTTATGTACATGCCTGTACAAGTTGTTACTTTCCTTGTTGATATCACCTCAGAATGGTTTTCTGAATTTTTTTCCCCAATTGGTTTGGCCCCTGAGCATAGTGACTTATTCTCTGAAGTTGTTATTTGGTGACATTTTTTCATTCAAAAATAAATCTTCATGGCTGAACTTATTTTTCATCATGCACTCCAGGTAATTTCTGTGAAGGTTATTAGAAACAAACAGACTGGTCAATCAGAAGGTTATGGTTTTATTGAGTTTACGAGTCGTGCAGCTGCAGAAAGAGTTCTGCAAACGTTCAATGGGCAACTGATGCCTAATGCAGAGCAGACGTTCAGACTTAACTGGGCGGCCTATGGTGCCGGTGAGAGGCGGTCTGATGATAATGATCATCCAATATTTGTTGGAGATCTTGCAGCTGATGTTACAGACTATATGCTACAAGAGACATTCAGGAGCCGTTATCCCTCTGTTAAAGGGGCTAAAGTTGTCACTGACAGAACCACTGGGCGGTCAAAAGGCTATGGATTTGTTAGATTTGGAGATGCAAGTGAGCAGAATCGTGCATTGACAGAAATGAATGGTGTCTTTTTGTCAACAAGACCAATGAGGGTTGGCCCAGCAACCACCAAAAAAACCGGTGGTGCAGGTATGAAAATTATATAATCCTTGCTATTTATGAATTTTATCACTGTTTCTTTGCTGTAAATGGCTGAACAAGTTGAATATGTCTTGGACTTCTTGGTCTCATTTTCTGTGCACTGGAAAGTATGACTGTTGTTTTTCCCCAGTTTTGCTTCACTTGATGTTGTGAATGTTTCATATGTTAGTGCAGATGCAAATTCTAGAGGCTGTTTGATATGTAGTTATTTCTTCCAGTTATTCACTTGAAAAGCAGCAGTTTGTTGATCATCCATCCTCAAGCGCTTTTCCTTCCAAGTACTTTCCTTTATGAAATTGGGCAAATTTAATTTAAAAAAGATTTCGAGAACTTATAAAACTCATGTTGTTCCAAAGCAGGATGCCAAGAGGCTCTTTCCATTTAGGAGCCTGGAAATGACTTCAGCTGAGGTGCATATCTCCTTTAGTACGTGCCTCCTTCGGTCAGTGTTATCTTTTTGTAACAGTTTGCCCTTAATTTCATTTTGTGGCATTTTTTATGCTACATAGGAGACTTCATTTTGTACATCCTTCTGTTCAAAAAGATGTCTAATTTTCAAAATGCTAATTTACATTCCTTACATTTAAAGAGTTGGCTGTATTCTCAACTTTCCTTTGACAACGTTCTCCCTCAAGTTCTTTCCTTTTTCCATTTCATTTTTTGGGAATGCAGTATATTGAGGAGAGGTGATTTATGCTTCAGTCAGCTTTTTATTTTTGTTCGATAGCTGGTATAAGTATCTTCAGGCGAATCTTTCGTCTAATTATCTTGTTCACTTCAATCTGAGGAAAGTTACTATGAGACTGAGGTCCTCTTGGAGAGTCCTAGTTGATTCTTTAGTTATCTTTTTCAATCTTGTTGTCGGTCTGTCTTGATCTGTCTTGTTATTCCAATCATTCTTTAAACAAACTCTGTCTAGTTCCATTCCTTTTCATGAATGTGACACATTTTTCAGTAGTTGTTGGGATAATGTCTATTTAATATGTCACTCCTTTCCCAGGGTTATCTTTTATCCTTTCATCTACCTTTCTATGTCAAAGTTTCGATCAATTCCTGTCTCACAATTTCTCAGTTTGTCTGAAAAACTCAGTTTGGATGGAGTTTAACCATGGTAGTTGTTGAACATTGAAAAGTGAATTTTATACAGGTATTAACCAGCTTGAATTGTTCAAATAATAATTGAAATGGAAGTTTCCATTAGTTTTAGCATTTTGCGTTTTGCAAATGCCAGTATCATAATCCAAGGTCAGACTCATTTTGGACCAATTTGAAAATTTATTTTCGCGTAGCCAACAATTTGCTGAATCCCTTACAATTGCCTGCTAGACGCCCCTCTCCTTATACCATAGAAGGGCAAATGTCTGCTGTAAAGAGCATTCTCTTAGTAGATCTCATGCAAAAAAGGAAGCACACAATATATCTCGCGGATTACATTTTTTTAATTTGTGCTTTCAGAACTTATTCATGATATTGATCGCCACTTTAACAGAGAAAAAATAGAATCTTGGAAACCGCCTAATGCATATGCTCAGAAGATCACGTGTCTGATATTTTTACAGAGGGGTTGACTGCAACTGAGTGTATTCCTGCTCTAGGTGAGTTGACTTTGACAAACATCGGTCCTCAATCTGAGTACAAAGAGTTAGGATCTATTAATTATTTGTATACTCTTAGGATGTTGTTTTAGGGTTTACCTGGTAGGTTTGTGGTAGCACCGTTTTATTTTTACCATCTACGTTGACTTGTTTGTACAATGGTTTTTTCCACTAAAGATGCAGGAAGTACGTCTTTTTGAGAATTTAGCTCGTGAGAATATGGATATTGTTTCAGGTTACGTGGGATCAAAATTGAAAATAACTTGCGTGGTGAATTAACAGTGCTTTGGATCTCCTTCCTCTCAATGTGTTTCTTCCTCATTCTGCTGCAGGTTCCTTGCATTGAAAGATTTGGCATTTCTGTGCTTGTTCATTTATAAGTTCGATCCTTTCAGAATTTTCAACAAATTGACGTGGGTTTAATGTGTCTCTGTTGTCCTATTTTGTGTCATCAACCTGAATATCTATGGTTCTTGGTTTATTTTGAAGATTAACTCGTTATCAGAATTTTATAATAATCCAAATTATAGTTTAGATTGTGATTTATGGTTAAGGCAAACATGTTAGATGACTTTTCAAAATTTAAGACTGGAGGATGTTATCAGAAATTCGATATTATAACCTTATAGGCTGAAAAAGGTTACGGTTCCTTGGCTGCCACATTTAATGTGTGTTAGCCAAAAAAATTAGTGTTTATAATTATCACTGTAGAGTTGTATGATATCTCTCTTTTGTTGGTATTGTAAAGTCTGCCTCCTCTTTTCTTGTGAGAAGTCATGCTGTTCTTAATGAAGATGGGTCATATTCAAGAATAATCCCCTATCTGATTCTCTGTTGTTTCTCAATTTTTTTTTTATAAACATGTTGAACTTCTTAATTTGTATTTCTTTTTTTTTTTTAGCATGTGATGTCTGCAAGTCCCAATTCACACTATAGGACATTGTTGGAACCTGGTCCGAGTGGAGTTTGGAGGAGTTTTCATAAAATGATTATTGGCGGAGCTGAAAGAGACGATGGGTAGAACTTTGGAGAATGACAGGACAAAACATATTTCCCTTCATTGAGGTCTTTTTTCTTCTGGTGGGGGGAGAGGGGACCTTTCTTTGACTTGGCTTGCTTTGTCGAGTTATTGGGAGAACATAGGTGAAGGTCATATCATTAGCATGCCCTAATTATATGATAGTGCCCAAACTAACTGTCTACCTTGATTTCTGCTGTGTGGAATTGACACTTGAGACTATTACGTCACAATGATTTTTATTACATTACTACCTCTATTAGAATGCTTCTGGCTGATGACATTTTTTTTCATGGTGCTTGCTTTAAAATATACTGTAGAATATAGTCGAGAAGCTACTCGATCACATCCATTAAATTGTTGGTAGTTTATGTCATGTATTTATCTAAGATGGTGCCGTCTTGCACACATGTGAAATATCGATTTTATTGACCTACAGTTACCTAGACATGGGGATGTTTCCATCTTTGCTTGGACTCTATTGTATTTATTATTATCTTCTTCAAAGAACATAGTCATTTTATGCTGTTCGAAAGGACAACATTTGCACTGTGTTTTCCTGACGGTAGTCTCACCACTTTGCTGTTTGCAGGTTCCTACCCGGTCACACAAACTACCCAATCTGAGAGTGATCCAAATAACACAACGGTGAGTTAGTTGTGATATTTTTCATGGATTGGAAATATTTGCTCTTGTTTATGTTGAGCATATAGTTGAGAACAGGTTGAGGCATGTTTTATTTTATATTTTTTTTTATCAAATTCTCAGTAATATGCTCATGAATGAGGAGAGAATGGTTCAGCAACTAAATGTCAGCAAATATCTGGTTTTACTTATTTGCATTCAATATATTTGAGAATCACAGCACACATATGACTAAAAAAATTATAGAAATAAATAATATATATATATATATATATATATTTCTCGGTATGGTAGTTAGCCGAAAAAATCATATATCAGCACACATCATCACGTAAGCTTGTGATTTACGACCAACTTCTGTTGAATAATTTAATTTTTTGGCAAGTGATTGAGAGCGTTGTATACCAAGTATTTCATACTTTTGGCATTAGATGATGGCTGAATTGCAGAATTTTACATGTGATTTCGTATGTTGCGTGATAATTGATGACAGATACACTCCATTATTGATTGTTTTAAATGCAGATATTCGTCGGTGGATTGGACTCTAGTGTCACCGATGACATCCTGAGGCAGGTCTTTGGCCAATACGGTGAGCTCGTCCACGTGAAGATACCCATAGGAAAACGGTGCGGATTTGTTCAATTTGCCAACAGGTCTGTCCTCTCAGCCACATATCTTACCCATTTCTGCGTTATTTGATAAGTTGGCCTCGTGAACTGAAACTCCCCCTTACACACACGTTGGTTGGGTGGGGTCCTCAGAGCCTGTGCAGAGGAAGCCTTGTTGATGCTGAATGGAGCTCAGTTGGGCGGGCAGAGCATCAGGCTCTCATGGGGTCGCAGCCCTTCAAACAAGCAGGTTTGTGGGCCCCATCCATCCACCATCTCCTTTGATGGACATCCACCTCTTAATCGGGCCCGGGTTCCCCACTTACACATCAGTTTTGGGTTTCAGCCACAGCAGGATCAGAGCCAGTGGAACGGCGGCTACTATGGATACGGGCAAGGCGGCTATGACGCCGCGGCGGCGGCGGCCGCCGCATATGGATATGCGCCGCCGCCTCAGGATCCCAATATGTATGCCTATGGAGCCTATCCTGCCTATGGGAACTACCCACAGCAGCAGCAGCAGCCGCAGCAGCAGCAGCAGCAGTACCCACCACAGCAGCAGCAATATGCGCAGCAGCCGCAGCAACCGATGGTCAGTTCTCTTCTCTCCGCTGACGTATTATGATGTATCATCTCTCTTATTATGGATGCGTCCGTGACCTTAAAATGACGACCTTTTTTGGAGCAAATTGACCTCTGCCCACTTTTATTTATTTATTTATGCCCTTTTTGTTTTCACTGTTGCCAGCTTCTGGCGATGTGACGCCGGTTACTATGCGCGGATTATTTCATCAATTCTTCGTATTTCGCTTAGATTAATTTTAATTCGTTGTATCATGAACCTTGTTATTTTCTTAAATTATGTTTTCCTGCAAGGCTTATTTTATTTATTTATTTTCTTTTCTTCATCCGGTATCTTCTCACTGCGCTTCTTCCTGTGTGTCCCATCTTGGCGCAGTAACGTCCTTGGCTCATGGCGCGTTCTCTTCGATATGATGCTCGTGGGTCGCCCTCTCTCTCTCTCTCTCATTCTCTCCCTCTCTCATGCCCGTTGGCTGCGAGACGATGCGCCGTTCTCTTGCTTTCATTTTGTCTCTTTGTAGTGGGGTTGTCTTTGAGCCTGGTCTTAATTAATTAAGTGGTGGTTGTTGACTCGTGGACTATTTTAATCAATGTTGGGCGGCAGTGCGCGCTTCTTCTCTCTCTCTCTCTCCTCTTCTTAATTGCATCCCTTTTGTTTGGCGTCTAATATGGATGTGCTGGGTTGACCTAGGAGGCTTGGAGCGCCACATCCCCCCACCTCTCTCTCTCTCTCTCTCTCTCTCTCTCTCTCGTAATTAAGTTGTGCGTGCGGTTCTGTTGTGAAGGAAAAAGAATGGCGGCAACCTTCCTTATGGATAGATGCCCATGGTTGACTTTTCGAGGGGTGGAGACGTGACCGTTGATTCGTGAACCGAAGAAGACAAAACGAAGAAGGAAAAGTTGATCGACGATGACGACCCCCATAAAGAGGCTACGAGATGATCGGTCCCTTTCCGCTTTGCATCAGCTGAGGAGGGCTTTCTTCTTGTCCTCCCACTTCTCCAATCGCTTTGCGGCTTCTTGCACCTAACGAAGGAGGTCCTTAAAGTCAACGCTGCTTATGAGTTGTTGGGCGATTGACCACCAGAAGGAAGGTGGGGCCCCACTTACCTCCTTATCCCAGTCGGTCCTGAATGTGATCCATATGAGGATGAGGGTCTGCATCACGGTCCCTCCGATCATGCCCGACCAGATGCCCTGAAAGAAGACCAAGAACCCACATAGGAAGAGAGTTACTATTTTTGGAGGCCTCTTCTCTCTCTCTCTCTCTCTCTCTCTCTCTCTCTCTTGAAAGACTCCATGCTTCTTTCGAGCAAAGAGTCTTAGGGCGTACCTTGGCGCCGAAATCGAAGTAGAACCCGAGGAGAGAGCCCAGAGGGATCCCGACGAAGTAGTAGCACCCCACGTTGACGTAAGCCACGAAGGCTTGCCATCCGCAACCCACAGCGACACCTTTTTGGGACGACGACACCAACGCATTAATGACAGCATGTGCCACTCTCTCTCTCTCTCTCTCTCTCTCTCTCTCTCTCTCTCTCTCTCTCTTGCTATATATATATGTAATGGAAGGAGGGAGTAGACGCACCGGAGAGCACGGGCTGAATGCCATTGAGGATGAGGGTGAGGGCGAGAAGTGGACAGAGGTCGGAGACGGCCGCCGCCACCGTCGCGCCGCCGGTGAATGCGTAGCTGAGCACGTCGCGCAAAGCCAGCACCACCCCGGCGGCCACCGCTGAGATGACGAAAGCCAGCGCCGTCACCACAACCACCGAGAACGCTGCCGCCTTCGGGTTGCCCGCTCCCAACTCGTTGCTCACTCTCACGCTGCATCAACCGCCACGCGCCGCCACAAGGAGAAAGGAGAAGGCGTTAGGAAAAGGAGGATGAGGAGATTTCCTTCCGAGGAGTTGGGAGGAGGGCGGACCTTGCAGCGGCGTTGAAGCCCACGGATATCATGAACACCCACCCTGAGATGGTCATGCTGCGCCATTGGAGCGGAAGAGCAATCAGGATGAGAGATAAAACAAACGGACTCAGAGAAAGAGTCTGTAAAGAACCGACTATAAGTAATGGAAGAAGGAAGAAGTCTGCGAAGAGAGATATGTTACACATTGTTTTCTCATCATTGTTTAAGATTTTTTCAGGCATTTCATTCCTTTAAAAAAAATGAAGAAAAAAATCAAAATAGGCGCGGATAAGGAAGAGCCAGTCTCTCCGTTGGTCTCATCAGACATTTATTTATTGCCTTCCTCAGTCTTATCCTTGTTATTTTGGGTCATCCCTCAAACGAGCAGCGCATGATTTTCGCGAAGTCTCAGGGGGTCCCCAGAGATAGAGATAGAGAGAGAGAGAGAGAGAGAGAGAGAGAGAGAGAGAGAGAGAGAGAGAGAGGGGACTCCTAAAATCATATTTTGTCCTTCCCTCATCATCGTCGGCGTCGTCATCGACGAGGAAATGGGTTTTTGATTTAGAAGAAAAAAAAATCGGAGCTTGAACTTGAAGCAGCTGTTTTTGAAATCAAAACCTCTCGTAAAATTTGATATCATGTTAATATTTTTCTGTGAAAAAAGTAGAATCGAAGGTGATGATGATTAGATCCGATGGGGAAGAAAGATAGATGGATAGATAGATAGATATGCTCACCAGATGGAGAGGGAATCCAAGGCGAGCTCCGGGTTCTTGAGCAGCCCGGCGAGGAGGACGAGGATCTGAAAGTACCACGTCTCCAGGCACAGCATCACCGCCGACGCCGCCGACAGCCGGAGGAACCCCGGCAAACCGGAGAAGGCCTGCGCCGATAGGCCCCTCCACGTCCTGCGGCACCGCTCGCTGGTGATGATGTAGGCATACTGCGCCGCCACGATGATCCACCACGAGAGGCTGAGCACCAGCGAGGCCCCCAGGAGGCCCATCCCCAGCTTATACACGGCCAGCCAGCTGAGCAGCAGGTGGAGGGGGAGCGTCGCGGCGGATATGTAGGCGCTGGGGGCGACGATGCTCTGCGCCTGCATGAACTTTTGGATGGGAAAGTTGAAGGCGTAGGCGAAGACCTGAGGGATGAGCCCATAGACGAAGGTGGAGGCGGCGGCGGCGATCGCCGGCGACTGCCCCAGCGCCAAAAGAATCGGCCTCGAGAAGGCGTAGATCACCGCCAGCGGCACCGCCGTCCCCGTGAGCAGGATCGTTGACCTCTGCAGGTACACCCCCAGCATCTCGTACCGCCGCGCCCCGAAGGCCTGCCCGCAGAGCGTCTCCACCGCGCTCCCCATCCCCAGCTGCTCCAGTCCAATCCATCCCCACGATGGTCAACGGAGAGAGAGAGAGAGAGAGAGAGATGATGGCGATGATGATACCATGAGGCCGTAGGCGAAGATCTGGATGCCGGTGTTGCCAAGGGAGGCGGCGGCGAGCTCGAGGTTGCCGAGGTGGCCGGAGAAGATCTGGGTGGCCATGGACATGACGTAATTGAGCATGTAGACGATGACGGCGGGCGCCGCCAGATTGACCAGGAGGCCCATCTCGACGCCGGTGGCGGAGGCCAAGCGGCGCAGCAGGGGAGTGCTCCTGTCCGTCAGGATTCTCTCCAGCCTCTCGCTTCCCCCGTGCACCCCATCGCCGCCGCCGGAGCTTTGGGGCGGCGCCGCCGCCTCCTTCTCGTCGCCGGCCACCGCCAGCAGCGGCGTCCGCACTGTGTCCTGACTCCCGGAACCCATGTCCAAAAACCCCCTGAACTGCCCTCCCTCCGCCGATGTTTCCTCTTCTTCTTCTTCTTCTTCTTGAGAGAGAGAGAGAGAGAGAGAGAGAGAGAGAGAGAGAGAGAGCTGTTGACCAAGATATAACAGGGAGAGAGGAGAGTCAGCCCGGAGGGCTGGACGTATTATGTGTACTGTGCGACCAGGGGGGGTAGTTGAAACGGGTGGCGGGGATTTCGGACAGCCTTGTGCGAGGGCACGTTTGATCACCGCTTGTCCTCGACTTGTCTGCCCTGTTATCGTCTGAAACTACAGCGGCAAGTTTATCCTTGGCCGCCACGACTGACCGGATCTCTCCCCACACGGGGCCACGTTTGTGGTCTTGGTGTGTCCACGCCAGATCTGCGACGTGGCCTCACTGGCGCCCTTTGGATGCATCTCGGATCCGCGGGTCCATCGGATGAGTCTCGTAAAAGGTGTCTGTAATTTGTCGTCACTCACTGGTGGTCGCGCTCATCAGGACAACAAGTCCAAAAATAAATATAAAAAATTAGGTATAAAATCGAGAGCCAAATATTTAATTATTTTGGAAAAATATTTTTTTATAGAATTTAGGGGTTTTTTATGGGAAACTAGGGAAAAGTTGATGGAATCAATGCGTGTCCTCTCTCACCGCGCATGTAGGGAGGAGGGGGTATGCACCTTGGGGAGTAGAGATATCAGTGACTCTTAAAGGAGAACCGTATATAAAAATAATAAACGGAAAAAATAATAAAAATTTGGGGTTTTTCTCTAAAAATACCAAGAACTATTAAAGGGGGTATATTTATAAGAAAAATTATTATCAACATGTTCACAATTGAAATGCTGGCATGCATATACTCCCTACATTATAATTACCTAAAATTTGTACCTTTATCATGCCTTAAGAACCATAATTGCTAATTTGAGAAAATCATCTTAGCAAATGAGGACCCATCAAGAGACATTATGAGAAGTTTACCTGCGAGAAGACCATCGTCATTGAGAGAGAGGGTGAAGGATTAGAGAGTGAAGTTAATCTGAGTTGAGACTCCTCCCATGGATGGATCTACATGCCCCCCTAGTTCCCTTTTATGTGATTTTAAGGTGTCAGTAGAGTGATGGTTGAGTCCAGAACGAGGTGAAAAGGAAGGTGGTTTGAAGTCAACCGCATATGAAAAAGGAAGGTGATTTCTGACCATCCATCAAATTTAAGCTATGTTTTCTTGTCCTGTTCATTATTGTTGTAGCATGTCCATCGATGGACAAGGGATTCAAAACTCACCAAAGGGTGGGTTCTTCCTTCCTGGTTTTATGCATATGTTATTATACTTTATTAATATGGTTATCCCACTTTCAAGTTTAACTTAATTTTCATGAGCACAAGGTTTACTAGATCAAACTCTGAACCCATTTTCACATGGGATCAAGATGTAGATGGCATGGGGGATTTGGCACGGTGGGCATGGTGATGACCGTTTTTTTTTTAATTGTAGTATGTTAGTGAAAATTCCGAAATTATGAGCTATGTGCAGGTGATTCTCATGGTCCTTAGCCATTGCTCAAGTGCCATAGATCAACACTAGAGAAAGTGGGGGGCCTTTTGAAAGAAGCATACACTCTACCTAAAGCTGCCAGCGATGTGCCCGTGCTTCTACTTGTGGCCTTGGCTTTTACTACCAGCACTTAAAATTGGGTAATGGGCTCAGAATAGTTTTGGCTCAGCTTTTCAGGAAGGTGGCAGAAGAGACTGAGTCAACAAAAAGGGCTAGTTATGATACGTACATGAGCTATAAAGAGAGGAAGAGGGGGGAGGGGGAAGAGAGAGAGAGAGAGAGAGAGCATACAAGGTTTTAGGCATTTTCGGATTACAATAAGGATGTTCTGAACTTTTAAAACTAGAGGATTGACTCACATATATTTCTTCTTTAATTTTTACATCTATTTGATAAAAAATGATATTTTTATGATATTCATATATTAACAAAATTCTGATTAGATTAATCTAGTTACTAGAGCATAGGTTTCATTACAATATATTCCTGCTATCCAAGTGTATTGTTTTTCTACCAATCCAACATTATTTCTAACAGCTTTTTATGTCCTCATCTAACTTATTTTTAATATTCACTTGTTTCTATGATAAACATTCCTATTTTCCTTGGTGCTAAAGTTCAAGTTTTGCTTTTCTTGGAACTGACTTGTCACAATAAAATTCGACATTTCATCATCTAAAACTTCCTCGACAATTTTCATTGATTTATAATATTTATGCATTCAAATTTTCTATCCTTTCAATCTAGATTTTGTTTTAACTCTTTTCTTAGCATCTCCATGAATCTAATCTTTTATATGACTCTTGACATATTTCTATTCTCTTGGAAGAGCCTTCTTATCCTTTTCCCCTCAAATTAGGGAGTGTTGCATCATCATTGATTATTTTTTTCTGAAATTGTGTCAAATAATTCTTATTTATCCTCTATGGAGACTTTTCTTTTATTTTCCTCAATACATTTCACATTTATTGTCTCCTCAAAACTAATTCTTTGTAGTTCTAGACTCTAAAAGCTCTAAGTTTTCATAATATCTTAGAAAACTCTCTTATCACTTCTAGGATAATAAAATATTTAGCCAAAAGCAATTAATATTGGGTTTATTTTTAAAAAATATTTAATAGATTATCTTCTTAACTATTTATCTAATTATGATTTTTCTTCATGGTATAACATGCGGAATACCAAAAATACATATTACCCATCCCAAAAATATTTAGTCAAATTATTCTAAGCTAACATAGTTCTAGAAAATCTAATGATGTTCTGTTTTTTCTATCAACAACTTCATTTTATTAAGGTATCCTAACACTAGAGATAGTCAAATTTCAGATTTTTCAATTATCTACCATGATCAAATTCCAATCCTTTTAATCCTAACATCTATTTAATTCTTAATATTCTTGCTCAATTTTCTAAGTTCTTCAAGAGCATTACCATTATTTTCTAAGAATAATACATATTTAAACCTTGAAGAGTCATCAATATCTAAATAATCATATCTTTTTCTACCTAGAGATACCATTATTTTCTAAAAGCTTAGTTTTTCTAAAGAGATCCATTTGTAATAATTTTAAGCCTTGACTATGTTGGAGTATTATATGTATGATGCTTTCATGAAGACAAACATGCTTTAAAAAATCAAATTATGCGTATTTCACAAGATTCAAGATGTGCAAATGCTTAAGTATAATTAATAATAATAATAATAATAATAACATATAAGAGAAATCACTGAACATACTCTTGATTAGTAATTTTAAACTCATATATGTGATTTATATTATCATGTGAAATCATCATATTACATATTACTGTGGAAAATGTCAATATTTACATAATATGCCACAATACGAAAGTATAAATAAACACATCAAAATCAATGAGACAACAAGAATTTAAATGTAGATATGAAAGCTAATTTAGTCTATTTTGTTCTTGTGATATCAGATCATTACTTTTTAATGTCTTTTGTATCATTTTAATTGATTAGATTTTGATCATTTATTTAGTCGAACATGAGTTTCTAGATATTAAAGAATATATTTTATAAAATTATTTTAGATATCTTCAATCACTGAAATTACAGCTATAAATATTGAGATCATGATTCAAGATATTAACTTGAAGATGATATTTTATTTAAGATGATTCATGTAAAATTTAATTACTAAATCACTATCTTGTGAGACATATATTGTTAGTCTTGTTTTAACAATATCATATCCTTATTGGTTCTACTCTTATGACATATGATCCATAATGGATAAAATATGAAACAACACAATTGAGATTTCAATGTTGAGTAATTAAGGACACATATTGATTCTTCTTGACAATATCTGATTTGAGTTAAAGACATGTCTTATTAGTTTCTCAATTACTTAAATTAATCTCATTTTAGATAAAATAATCATTATAAAATTATAGAGACCTAGAAATATTTTTATATGAGATTTATTTATAAATACTATTATCTTCTAATGACAATTTTAAGACACAATATTTATCTTTCTAATCTGAACCACTATTAATTAGTCACTAAGTTTTTATCATAGGGATATCAACTATATGTCGTGAGGTTTATGTTGGTTGTTTAAATGATGTGAAGGCATTAATGCATGGAGGACTACATTGTATGGTCCTCTTTATCATATTTGAAGTTTAAAGAGGCTTCAATCTGCTACTAACATTTCGACAAGAAGAGTACAGTAATAACACAACATTATATATCATCCTTTTAATATGAAATGTAGAAACACTTGAAGTCTGCATTATCTTGAAAAACTATCCACAGTGAAATCATCTTATATCTATTGTGAGAGAAACTCATGATTTAATCACATGTGATAGTTGTCTCATTAAGTAGTTGTTGGCCTCTTAGAGCCATGACTATAGAAGATAATTAATGAGTGAAATTCTGTGGGAGCTGAACTTAGTAATCAATAGTGTCTCATCTGATGATTAGTTCTAGTAGAACTCAAGAACAAGATTCTTCTTGGAGAGTGAATTGATGCCTTTAGTTTTGATACTCAAGTAAAAATTTATTTCTAGAATATTTATTAAATAGTAAAGGGATTTTATGAAGACGTGTTAGAAGTTTGATATCATTGAAAAATATTCAAAGTATACATTGATGATGTTTTAATAATCATGATTAACAAATAATTCTAAAGAGTTATATTCTTGAGATATTCTTATGTTGAATTTAATATAACATATAATTCATATATAAGTACATAAAATTAAGTGTAAACACATGTGATGAAGTTTCAAGAAAATCTAAGATTCAAGAAAATATAAAGCCACCTAAAGATTCAAATTCATAACTTGAGCGACAAGAATCCAAAAGCCTCAACGAAAAAAATACTTGGAAAATCAAAAAATATGAAGTTAGGTACAAGTTTTGAAGTCAAGGCTTGAGTGATAAAAAGTTAGAAGCCTAAATGAAAAACACCTAAAAATTAAAAAAAATAAAAATAGGTGCATGATTCAAAGTTAGGACCTCAATGATGGAAAGATAGAACTCTCAGCAACTAAAATGTCTAAGAATTATAGAAAAAGAAAATCATTGGTAAAATTCAAAATCAAAACCTAATCAATGACATGTTGGAAAACTAAGAAGAAAAATATGAATAAATATCAAAAAATCAATGTCTCCAATAAGATTAAACTCAAGACCTATACAATGGTAAATTTAAAGCATCTGCATGAAGCCATTAGAAAGTCATGAAAGGGGGGAAGTTTTTATTAGTTATTTTAGATAGTGACATGTCGACAGAACATATGGAGAAAATAATAAATCAAATAGACTTATTTAGATGACACAAAAAGTAAAAATGATTGTTGATAAGTAGCAAAAATCTAGACCAAGTTTTCAAGTACAACATATATGAGAACAATGAGGTTTGAAGTAAGGAATGAGCAAAGATTAGTGCCATCTATTTTGGGGGGTAACACATAAATGAAAAACATGAAGATAGTAACAAGCACAATGACCTTATTTAAACTTGACTTTAAAATAAAAAATAACTGTTGATATATTATGAATCTCTAAATAATATTTATAGCACAATGAATGTGAGAATAATAAGCTTTGAATGAAATAACGAACAAAGTTCAATGGTGGATTAGTGGAGCAATGGGAAGAAATTTAAATTTATGTGACTACTTTTTCAAGTGATGAAAAGATAAGAAAACATTGGAGAATATAAGGAAGTAATTTATGAAGAATAAGACTAAATGTTGAATGAAGATATATCTATCACTTTGCTCTTTGAGGAAAATTCTTCTCTGTCTACCGAAGTCAAGCTACCGTGCACCTCAAATAAGAGCTAGCATCAAATACTTTACTCTAGTACAATGATTCAAGTCAACTCTCACTTCAAAGGTTAACTCTCTCCTACATGCCCTAATGTACTTAAGACACATAGTGTTGATAGCCTATTAATGTCCATGAAGGGTGTGGTCTTTGAGAAAGTGTGTTGCAATTAAAGCATGTGACATTGAGAGCCTTATTGTGATCATGAAGAGTGTAATATTTCTGGAGATCACATTGGTGCAATTAGGACATTGATCTCATAAAATCGATGTGAAATTGTTAACTTTGGCAAGAAGGATCATCTAATATTTGAAATAGCTTAGAGAAGGGTGAACTAGTATACAAAATCTATATATCCTTAGTGGTGATGAGAGAGAGTTGAGAGGGGACCCTTGTAGAGAGAGAAACCACCTTGAGTAAAATCATACCCAAAATTGAGAAGTTGTTTGAAAACTTGTGATAACACATACACGTGTAGACAAAACAGAAGAATACAACAAAAATCATAACAAATTAATTCATCCTACCCTCTTAGTGTTTCACTTAGCCTCATTGAACTCTTCAAAGTGAACATAAGTAGTAATCTGAAGTGCTTTCAAAACTAGTAAGTTTTATAATTATAGAACTAAGGAAGTACTATGAAAATCAAGAAAGAAAATAAGTGACATACCTTGAGAAGTAGGTTCCACAAAAAGTGTTTTAAGAACAAACCAATTCAACTCTCCCTTTCTTAATCTTAGTGTAGGCCAAAAATCAACATACTAGTTTTGACTATATATTTTATTTTGTGAGTTTTTCTAACATGTTTTCCTCTAATACAAGTGTCACAATCAAAATTTTCATCTAAATCTAAAGTAAGTGTTCCTTTGAATAATCATAATTTCTATATTTTCTAATTATTCGAATATTTCAATGTCGTAATCTTTTTTGCCATAGTTTCTCAAGCATCTACATTTGAAACTAAACATATATTTGATATCATTAGTTCATGAAAATAAGCAATACAAAAATTAT